ATCGACATTTAAAAAATATATTAAAAGATGCATTATTTCTAAAACTTGAAATATATTTTTTTTCATGTCAATTCATCTTGAGGTTGAGATGATCACTTTGAAGATTTTTGAGCATTGAAACAATCTCTTCTAATGAATTTTTGAGATGTGCCTGATTGTTGAGGCTTGGCCTTTACATAAACTTTTGCTCACAACTAACTAAATTACTATTTATCTTTGATTACCACTTTTCAACGAAGAAAATGACTTTATTTTGGTCAAAACTGCCCACATATAGAAACCCACAATTCTCTCTCTAAAAACTTGATACTGTTATTCTCTTTAACAGTTTTGTCTTAAGATCGTCTCTATTTCAAAGCTTTGAGATCGTTTATCTCTATGTAATTTTTGAAATAATTTTTTTTTCTAAAATCTTGAAATTTGAGATAATTCTCTCAAAAACTTTTGGGATATTTTTCTCTTTTTAAAATTTAAACTCTCAAATTTTTAGAGAAAATTAGATTTATTCTCTTCCTTATGGGGTGGTTGCAAAAATAACGAGAAAATTACATACACATCCATTATATTTTGTGTTATTATGGATGTATCAAAAAGTTTCCACTATTACATGTCTGTCTGATTTTTACCTTTCATAACGTAATTTTTTAAAAAAGATTATTTTACCCTTTTTCGGGTGTTCAACATCCAAATTGCAGGGTTTTTCAGATGTTTAACATTCGAAAATAGCCCGAAAATTTAACGTTCACATTCTGCAGAACATTCGAAAATGTGTTATTTTCGAATGTCCAACATCCGAAATGAACGGATGTTCAACATCCGAAAATATGCTTGCAAAATTCCAAAAGGTTTTTTTCACTGGCACATTTTCGGATGTTCAACATTTGAAAATGTGCTATTTTCGGATGTCCAACATCTGAAATTATTTTTGGATGTTGGACATCCAATTTCGAATGTTCAATATCCAAAAATATGACTGCGAATTTTCGGTTATTTTTGGATGTTGAACATCTGAAAAGCCCTTCAATTCGGATGTTGAACACCCGAAAAAGGGTAAAGTCATCTTTTTCAAAAATTACGTTATGAAAGATAAAAAACGGACAGACATGTAATAACGAAAACTATTCAGTACATCCGTAATAACGTAAAATATAACGGATATATATGTAATTTTCCCCAAAAATAAATAATAGTTGATTTAGTTTTTTTAAAAAAAGTATCGAAGAAAATACATTTTTCTCCCAAACATTAAGAGTATTGAGGGGACGAAAGTACAGTCCAGGGGGTATGTGTAATTTAGAACTATGAGTTTGAGAGAAAGTAACATGCCTTGTATAAGGATCACACACGCAAATTAAAAAATAGTCTAATTTTTTGTAAAGTAAATTATGATTATAAAATGGATAGATCGAAGAAGATATCATACACATAATTAAAGCTAGGTCGGTGAAATAAAGGTGTGCAATCGGAATTTTATATGATCGCGGGATACCAATGAAGTTGAAGGGGAAGTTCTATAGGACAACTACAAGATTAACTTTGTTTTATGTGGTGGAATGCTTAGTGATCACGAAACAACATATATGAGTGTAGCTGAGATGAGAATGTTAAGGTAGATAAATGTCAAAACAGTAAGAGATAGACTTCAAAATGAATAGATTCGATAAAACAAAAGTGGGGCTCTATTAGGCGATAGATGAGAGAAAGTAGACTTAAGTGAATTGGCTATGTACAATGCCGACCTAGTACAATATCTATTAGGAGGTGCGAGTTAGTCCAAGTAGAAGTTTCAAAAAGGTCAAGAGGTAGGACTAAAAGATCATGGTTGGAAGTAGTGAGAAAAGATATAAGAACTTATAGCCTCACTGAGGATATGCCCCTCAATAGAGCAAAACGACGGACTAGAATTTGTGTAGCCGACCCTAAATAATTAAAAAAAGGCTTTGTTGATAATAATGATTATATGATAGTACATCTCCTAGGACTTACTTTTACATTTGAGGAGAGAGGCCTTTTTCGACTCCTTAACCATTCTTAAACGATTGAAAAGATAACGAGGGATTGTGCTTTCTAAGCACGATGCATTCTCCCGTGGGACTTCATCGTCGGATGGATGAAACTCTAAAATTGTGTGGGCTGGGAATGGGTTAAGGGTGTCGCCACGGCTATGTCTGGGCTACACCCTCCCCAATTTGGGACAACTCAAGCCGGTCCTATATGGATTAGGGCTAGAATCAGAACAAGGTTGACTCGCTCTGTTTCCAACCCTAAGACCTAAAGTACTGCATATCAGGGTAAACGTTCATTCACGAGTAATTTTAGCATCCCAAAATTTAGCAATATGCTATGGGACTGTGCTCCCTCCTGCCATTTTAATTCTTGTCTAGGCCCAAATTTTTGAAAATGCAATAAAATAATTTTCCATTCAAAAGTAAAAAACATAAGGAAAAAATAATATCCCAAAATTGAAGAAAGAGCACTAGTCATCCAGATCTAGGTATTTTGAAAATCTAAATTTTATTTTATGAAAATACCCACGTGGCCGGCTTTGCAACCAAAAATTTCTCACGAGCCTTTTACCTCGGGGAGTGAGCATGCACTGTGCTTCTACACTAAGCGGATGGGGATGGGGATGAGGTTGTAAGAGAATGGGGCTGAGGTTGTAGTAGTAACACAATGTGATCCTCAACTATTGGTTTAGGTTCATTCTCACTAATGCATTCGAAAAATAATAACTATGTTTGAAACATGTAAATAGATGGGACTATATTCCATCTACCCAAAAAAAATTATATGCGCCAAAAAAAATATAACATTTGGATTATATGCATTCATCGATTGAGCTTGATGTAATGGAGGCTTTTGCAAGATTTGATTGCTTTTTGGACCCACTGATTTTGGCTTGTGTGAAAGGTCGGAATAGTTGAAGATTCAAAGTGAACGATGGTTCAACCTCCAAGTCATGAGTAGAGAACCCTTTTCTATGAAAGAAACTGGTCGGTACAGTTAGTAACGGAATATCGGCAAGCAATCCTGGCCCTTAATTGTGTAACATAGCGATATATAACCATGATTTTTGTGCCATCGTTTTTTTCGGAACGGTTTTATTGTACAGTAAAGAAACGGAGAGACGGAATCTACACGATTATGAGTCAATCTCTTAAAAAGTATGTCATAATCTTAAATTTATGGGTTTGGTTAGGTTCCACCACTTGGTAGTGTATACCGTTAAAGTACTCAACATTTGTTCAATATTAAAATACCTTTGAATTGTAATACAAAAGTTTTTTAAGTAGGGGTATTTTTGGTCATTTAAAAAAATAAAATGGATATTTTTATAAAAAAGTTATGGCATTCTATTAATAGTTAAAAACAATTAATACATCTTGTGGGGGATGTCACACACTATATCGGCCACGTCATTGTCAACTATTGTTAATAAATGTTTGTATTTCGGTTAGAAACTTCTAGTTATCCATGACTAATTACTTAAAATACCTTTAAATAAAAAGTTATTATATTATAGGATAAGGATATCTAAATGTTTAAAAATATTGACCACTTTAAGGGTCTACACCACAAGTGGTATAGACTAACAAAACCCTAAATTTATTATCCAACTTTCAAGACGGTTAGATTTAAGCATTTAAAAACCTCAATGTGAGTCACAATGTTTTAAAAACTCTTGTGTTTCAGACATGGATGGGAATAAGTCGGAACTGAACCAGTTTTCGGATCGAATGAGTTCCAATCTAGGTCCTCCCAAAACCCCTTATATGATTTTTCTTTTGGTGGAAAATTATTTTATGGACCGCATGACTATATATGTGGTTCATCTAAAAACAATAGAAACTAATGGTCCCAATGTTTTCTTGTGAGAATTCTTATTTCGAGTTTTTAAAATTGACTTATTTTTTCATATTCATGATCTCCATATTACAGATTACATCTCCTTAAAAATTAAGTCAAAAAATCCATTTCAAAAATAGATTTATTGATAGGCCCATAATTCTACATATGCAGGCTTGGCCACATAGAAACCGGCTCCTCCTTTTTTTTGGCTTATCTAATATTTTGTTAGATCCCCTCTAAATCTCTATTCCATAAACTCTTATTTTAACTTTAATTTTAATTTATTTATTTAAAAAAAATTAAATCATGGGTTTGGATTGATCTAAATCTGATCTGGATCACCAATCTAATCCAATACAAATTCTGTCGGTGAACGACCCTTCCCTGCCGATCTTGGTTTTGAAGTATTAGAAACTCAAGAATTATTTATCTTTGTTAATATACTTATATAATAGTGATTTTAAAGTGGATTCCCAAATGGGTGTGGATTTTATAAGGTTGCAACGGTAAAGAATCAAATTAAGGCTCACCTCCAAATTGTATCATAACATGTAATCGTGGTGAAAAGGATCATTAGGACTATCTCAAAATATATTTTCATATCTAATTATAAAATTATAAATTTCAAAAGTAGTTAAAATCAAGTAGATCTATAAACATATGAAAATCTTGAAAATGCACGGTCCAGATAATGTATTGTAAGATGTACTATTTTTTAGACTCAAAATCTGTTTTTTTTTTTGCCATATTCATACAACTCGATGTGCTGATGACCAATTGGAGGTTTTTTCAATATTAAAACAACCTTTTCTTATGGATATTTGAGGTGCCTTTGTAATTCAACCTCGTATAAACTTTTTCCTTTCCAAATATTGTACTAGAAAACTAAATCTTTTAGATGTCATTCACCTGAAGGAGCAAACATATAGTATACTCCCACATAAGTATGTTGCACGCCCTCTCACGGATGAGAGGGAGAGATTGCATCTGACTTTTCTTCCTTTCATTCGTCACGCTCCGTTTTGATGTAGTACAAATTTGATTAGTAAATCTTGTTGTGTTCTTGTACTGCACGTTTGTTTTATCACTTCCTTATCTCTCTCTCTGTACTACTTGCCTCTCGGCGCTAGAATTTTCAGGTATTTATTTCCATTACTTTCTCTCTCTACTCTCCATGGTCAAGGGAATTTTTTACATTTTATTTCCATTGACTTTGTATCTCTAGAGTTTGACGGAGTGCCATTTTTCGTTTATGGCTGCTCTTTGAGAGGAGTAGCTGACCCGAGCCCCTCTCTCTCTCTCCTCTCTATCTCTCTCTAAAGATGCTTCGATTATTGTTGGGAATTTCAGTAATTTGCTCGGCGTTATTGTGGGCTGAAGCTCACAATGAGCATGGAGAACCTGCTCACTGTGAATCTCTCCCTGATGCAACAATTCAAGCTGATTATATGCCTGGTTCTATCACCTTAGATGGCCACCCTGAGGACTGGAGCAATGTTGATGGTTTCTCTTTCTCTCTCCTTCCAGCTTTGGACCCAGACGAAGAGAATCAATACCCAGGTGGCCGGATCACTGTGAAGGTGCAGAGACTCTTTTAGAACTTCGATTCGTTTCCTCTTGGTTGTTGTCTTTGTATTGATGGCATTTTGTAGGTTTCGCTGTTGTCTACAGGGCTTTCTCTCTCATCTGAGGAATGATTTTTGGCTATTTGGGTTTACTTTATTGCTTCTGTTTTTCTCGAATCTATTTTGTGCACCCCTTTCTCTCATTAGGATTCTTAAGATGGTTATTAATTTCTCTTGCGCATCTCTCTCTGTAATTTCTTTTGTGCAACTCTCTTTCTCTGTGATTTCTTTTGTGCAACTCTCTCTCTGTAGTTTCTTTTGTGCAACTCTATTTCTCTGTAATTTCTTTCTGCAACTCTCTCTCTCTCTCGAATTTCTTTTGTGCAACTCTCTCTTTCTCTCTCATTGTTAAGATGGTTGTTCTGTTCTCAGTTTATTTTATTTTTTGTCTTCACTGATTGTGATCTGTATTTTGTACTTTTTTTCTCCATGATGATTGTTGTTTTTTGTTTTTCTGATTTTTAGTTTTTTTTCAGGCCTTACATGATGGGAGCGATGTTTTCTTTCTACTCCAAGTCAATGGGAAGTATGCTTATGTGAACGGGTAAGTGAATCAGGAATTCTTTCATTTCAACATTTCGAATTTCGCGGAATTTTGTATATCATTCTCCCTTTTTTCTCTTTATTTTTACTATGTTTTTCTTGGTTGATTTAGATTTATGTGGGGGGTGGTCCATGTAGATTTGGTTCAACCAGAAATTCAATTTAAATAAAGAGAATTTTGATTCCAGTTAGGTATTGTAGAATTATTAAAACAAGGAGTAACAGTATTGAATTATTCTTATCTGAGTCTGATGCAGAGACCATAGTAGATGCCCTTCTGTTGCTCTCATGTTCCAAGTTGGGGAGCATGCCACATATCACAATGTAAGTATTTTTAAAAACAATTGTTTGCATATTTTTTTGTACTATTTTTACTGTATGATTGAGAAAAACAAGTGACATCTCCTTGAAGATTTGAGAGACGGACTCATGTTTCGTAGATTTTGTTATTTGATTTAGCCCTATTCGTACACCCTATTGGTACAAAATTTATTGTATCTTGTACAAATCCGTCATCATATCCACCTTATTATGTTCTTTTTATGCAATTGATGATGCCTTTTGAAGATTGTGGGTTCATATCCACCTTGTAAGGTTCATGTTTGCATGACTACTTTCCCCCCAAAATTTGTGTATCTTAAATTTGTTGATATTTTATAAGTAATGTTGTTTTGGACCAAGAACTGAGAGAGGCATTGTCCCACCAGATGGGTGCATGCAAAGAATCAGTAAAGACATGCAACAAAACAACTTGTCGGGGCCATGAAGTTGATATTATGCACTTCGCTATTGGAACTGCAGTTCCAGGACGGCTCTATGGTGGCAATACTATAGATAACACTGATGGAAATGGGGGTGACAGGTATTATAATATATTTCTTTTAGAATTTGCTATAGCAATTGCGTCGTGTGTTTCTGTATAATATAGCTTCTTGAAAATCTTTTTCTTTATTCCTCTCTTGTTTTCTTTTTTACTTTTTTCTTTTTTCTTTTTTTTTTGTATGCGCATTTATATCTTCTTGAAACTCTTTTCTTTCTAATAGGTTTGGTCATTTGGTTGATTTGTATTCTTGGAACCCACATTGTCGTTATCTTGATGGGAAGGGCCCTTCAGGTATGAATATTGCTGTTCAAAATTTTTGTTATTTTACAGATAATATTTCTTATCACATGCTGGTGGTGAAATTTTAGGCATGATTATAAATTGCTACCTTTTCCCTAGTTACATATCCTTCTGGCTTTGTGCACAATTCAAATACAAATTTTGAATAGCATGTGGCATGTATGTTTCCAGGACTAGACCATCAATATGCACCATTGATATGTATTATGAAGATTGAGTTTTCAATTGTGTCGAATTGAGTTGTTTCTCTTGCTTTTAAGCGTAGATTCTGATTATTTAGATGGTGAACTATTTTCCTGAAACTTGCTGCTCGAGTAGAAAAATATAACTGTAAAGTCAGAATGTCTAGATTTGGATAGTGCATATTCACCAAGAAAAAGAAAATGGACAAGATCTACAATTTAACATGGCATTTTGTATGGCTGTTTTGAATTGGAATGGAGAAAGCTAAATGATATATCTATATACATAAAAATTTTATTGGAGTCTACTCTCCATGGACTCAGCGGAGCCTTACCTATCCCTGTCTTCGCATGCTCCACTTAACGCCCCCTAATCCCCATTCCCTCTTCTCCTTCCTTTCATTTTCCTTCTCCCCTACTCACTTGACCCAGCCCAGTCACTGTCCCTCTCCACTCAACAAAGTTTTTCTCTCCATCATTTAAATTCCTACCCTCCATACGTGAGACCTCAACACTTGTCATACAATAGACACCACAATGAAGAGTAGCCTTTGATGCACATGTACTTGAAAACTGGTGCTGCGCCTTTGTCACGTACCTGATAAACACATATAACATCATGGGAAACTAATTTTGCAGCAGTGTCAAAGGCTATATATGCATATCATATTGATTAAATCTCCTCTTGCATCACCATATCACTTATGAACAAGGTGAAATCTTTCTCCAGTAAGCCATAGGGCATCAGTTTCTGCATAACTTCATAAAAGCATCTTCGATTGTCTAGAGAATCAAGATGCTATTGTGTTCGAACTTGTAATCTCTCATTTTCTTTTAACCATGACTCTATTTGTCCTGATCCCTACTTTCTTAATTTTTAATAATGGATCCAGTTAAATGTTTGAAAGGCAGTGATTATCCCACGATTGTTGCAAGCATGAGGCTCTTTTGTTTTTAAGTCCAGAAATTTTGTATTGCCATTTCTTTCTTTATTAATGAAATGTATTCTTTATTTAGTGTAATGCTAATAGATACAAGAAACACTGGTTTGCTGGATGAGAAAGTGGAAAATGACAGCATAATTGAGATTCTTTTCCAACTATAATTGATAATTATTTATTCTTTGTATAGGAAATGATTCTAGTGCACAGAACGACTGGAAGGGAGCATGGTGGCATGATAGTCTTAATATCCACTCTGGTACGTGTTTATGTTTTATTGTCTTGAAATATTTCCTGTACCCCGTTGCATTTTGTAAACATCATCTTTTATTTTGCTCACTAAGAACCTTCCCTGCGTATTTTATTTTTGGGGAAGCCCACTATGCACCATTGGTGTTCGGCATGTGGTGCACTGAAATCCACTGTTTGTTCACGTATTATGGGTGGTTGAGATCAACCCTACCCAGGTGAATATTTATCTGTTGGAAACTGTGCCTAGTTAATCTCCACCATCTATCATCGGAAACAGAAGGTTTATGGTGGTGGGCGGCCCTGTTTTGTGCCATATAACGCAAGATTGTTGTATGGCATGCATTTGCTATTATGCTTTATGGTTTTCGACCAATGTGTATAAACAGACTTATAGGGAATCAGATATTTTAGTCAATGTTGTTATATGGACATCACCCTGGGTCCCCTAGTATGTCTCATTGAGATTTGTGGAGATTGTTATGTTCCATAGTTTGTGGTGAATTAGTTTATTTATTACATCAATAAAACAAAAGAAAAGAATTGTTGTAAGAATGCTAAAAAATTTATTCTTTTTCTGTTTGAGAGATGAGATCTAAAACTTTGAAAGGAACTTACATTCCTTGTGTCCTGCTAGCTTCAAAGATAGAAAAACGCATTTGACAATGATGAAAATTCTCTTTTCACCCTTACTGTTGAACGGTATTACCTTCTTTTAAGTCCCTCTGGAATTGGGGACCTGCACGGGGAGAAACTTGATCCTTCTGTCTGGAGCTTTATGGCTTGGTCCAGGTAGTCTAACCTTGGAATTTATAGGTACTGCAGCAAGGAGAAGAAAGAACAGGGGAAAATAGCATGGTTTATCTTAAAAATCGCACCTTCGTATTGTTTTTCCCTTAAAAGACTATGGTAATCAGCCCAAGTTCTGTATGTAATGATTAACTTTTGACATGAAAACTGCATAACTTGGAAGTACTTTTGCACTTGCTTTGATAGATTCTACCACATTTGCAACTATAGATTCTACCACATTGCAACTATCTTCCAGGTTTTGTTGAGGAAGACAGCCCATATGCATCAGCTGACCAAAATGGTGCATACTATTTTGAATTCTCGAGGCCTCTTAGAACAATGGACCACCTTCAACAGGTAACTCATGCAAAAGAATTGATTGCGCTCAAGAGAGAGAGAGAGAGAGAGAACATCTGTTATTGATCTTTATGGCAAGAAACAAATATTAGATTCCATCACATGTATTAACTCAATTAGGAAATGTAGGATGTTCAATTTGTGATTGGCCAGTCGAGTAAGATGGCGGTCGCATTCTGGTACCCAGTGGACAATAGGCCATGGAGTGGGTCTCAGCATTATTCTGCTCATTGTGATTGGATTCCCTTGGATATATCTCTAGGCTCTACAAATGTTCATCGAGGTTCCAGTAGTTCTTGGGACGCTGCAAATGCATTCTCTCTACTCTTATCAGTAGTGGCCTTTTGCATGTCAGTATTTGTCGGTTATTGGGTTCGCAAATCTAAATCTGTTCCTTTTACACCCATTGATCATTTGTAGGATCAGTTCCAATTCATCTGAATCTCGGAAAGCCTCCCTTTCCCTCTTGATTTGGTAGTGTTTCGATTTTGACAATGAGATGTGTATATGATCTCCTATTTCTCCTGTTTGATAATTGATATTTTGTATTTTAAGTGATAATAGATTAGCCAATTTGCCGTTGAAAGTCTGTTTCTCTGAACGAAGAGCACCATGTTTTTTTATCATATTTCTTGAACTTGCTGCGATCACAAGCAGATAGCTTTTTTTATTGACATATATTCTGTCTTGTCTAGCCATCCTTAATAGTGGAATCTACCAAATTGCTGTTCTTTTTTGTAGAGAAATTTATCAAATACTCATGAGAGATGAGCAATTTATGGTGACTTATGGTCTCATTGAGGATATGGTCATTGATAGAATAAAATGGTAGACTAAGATTTGTGTAGCGGGTCTCAGATAGTTGGAAAAAAGTGATGATGATGATGATGACGGCGACATGAACAATTTAACATTTTTACCTAAATTTTTTTTGTTTAATTTTACTGTTGAACGGTATTACTATCAAATAATATATGAACTTGAGTCGCACTAGTGGCAATAGGTAGAATGCTTCTAATGGGGCTTGGTGCATTTTTCTTTTATTTATTTTTATATTGGAAAAGAATTTTTGGACTGCGTGTCCAAATCGTTCACCTGGACCTGCGGATCAAACATAGTAGGGGAGATTGGTGGACCCCAGAACTTCCATTTTCCTTTATATTTATTTCACTCCAAGATTTCTCTCTGTTTTTTTGTTGGTATAAATGGATTATTTGGAGTTAATAAGGTACACACAAAAAATGCCCTTCTCCACAGCTCGAACTTGATTGTGAATCTGATTGGACGTCCATCGCAATAGACATTAAATCATGCTGATTTTGGAGCACAAAATTATTATTATTATTATTATTATTATTATTATTATTATTATTATTATTATTATCATTATCATTATCATTATCATTATCATTATCATTATCATTATCATTCTCATTCTCATTCTCATTCTCATTCTCATTCTCATTCTCATTATCATTATCATTATCATTATCATTATCATTATCATTATCATTATTATTATTATTATTATTATTATTCTCATTATCATTATTATTATTATTATTATTATTATTATTATTATTATTATTATTCTCATTATCATTATTATTGTTGTTATTGTAATTGATCTTAGGATATATCAAAGATGACTATGAATGGAGAGTTTTAGGCCGTACACCACAATACAACACCAGTTTAAGACGTGCAATTTGGTTCAAGTAAAATGATATAAAAGGGTAAGGGAAAGTTCAAATGGACATAGATGAAAGTAGTGAAAAAATATATGAAGATTTATAGTCTTACTGAGGGTATAATCTTTGATAGTACAGAATTGCATAACAAGATCGTGTAAGCGACTTCAAATATTTGAGATAAGGCTTTGATGATTATGTGATAAACATCTTCAAATCTTAAGGCTATCCTCACAAAAGAAAATTACAAATAGCAAAAACAAAAGTAACATATCAGGATTGAATAGAAATCGTCATCTGAGTGTTAGAAAACTTCAAATTCAAATTTTCTCTTTTGAAAATAATATCTACTGATATTTAGGGGGTTCTTAGAATTTTAGATTAAAAAATTTTCTTAAGTAAGTTTTCCTCAGGGAGCAGCTGGACAGTTGCTCCCACGGGAGCATAGTATACCTGCTTATTTTTTAGACGGCAATTTTGGGGATGTGGTATCACAGAGGAAAGAAAAATTGATTCTCATTTTCTGGATGCCTAACAAAAATGATATCTCGAGATTGCCCAGGAACAAGGTATACATCTCCAAGAACTCAAAATCCAGCTTCTGGTCTTTAAAAAAGATGATACTTAGATGCATCTCAAAATTTCTAATTAAAATAATCCTCCCAACTAGCTATTTTCCAAGAGAGGTGTTGCAGTAAGCTTCCCTTTGAGATAGCCATCTACATTTAAAAAAGAGCGCCTATATTGTATTACTGGGGGAGCATATTGTATACATGCTCCCTCTGTTAGAAGACCCACTTGGGAGGATTTTTCATTATGAAAATTTGAGAGCCACTCCATAAGGGTGTGGTTTGTATAGGGCCTAGGCTCTAAACAATCAAATTAGAGCCTACCTTCAAATAGTGTGGAAAAATGTGGTTTTAATATTGAAAATCTTTATGATAGTCTTAAAATATGTTTTTATATTTATTTATAACGTTTAAAGCTTCAAAAATCGTGTAGGTATGAAAACTTGAAAATTTTGAAAAGTGACGGTCCAAAAATGAATTACAAAATATACTATTTCCAAAACTTGAAATCTATTTTTTTCTCATGTCCATATTTCTCGATGTCGAGATGATCAATTTGAAGATGTTTGAACATCAAAACAACCTCTTCTAGTGAAATTTTTGAGATAGGCTCAAATATTAGAACCTCGGTTTTATATAAACTTTTCCCCTTAATAATCACTGAACAAATTGAAATGTTTGCCCTTAATAATCACTGAACAAATTGAAATGTTTGCCCTTAATAATCACTGAACAAATTGAAATTTGAGTTTTCTGTAACTTAGATCTCACCCTCCAAAAATTAAATATTCGGATATTATTTTCCCTAATATATAGATAGTACAATTTGGAAATTTTCTTTTTCTTAACTGGGAATGCGTAAGATTATTTTGCTTCCGTGGTCCCAAAGATTTGTTGTTCTAGGCTAGTCTTGGAAAGCCATCGGTTGCCAACATGGTGAGTGTGGCTCCACACAACGCACAACAAAGAAGAAAAAGTTCATCATCATTATCATTATATTTTTTTTTCAACTATTTAAGGTCGACAATACGAATCCTAGTATATCATTCTGCTCTATGAAGGATCATACTCTCAGTGAGGTCATAAATGCCTATATTTTTTCTTACTACTTCCAACCATGTCATTTTGGATCTTCTATTCTCAATGACATCATAAATACTTATATCTTTTCTCACTACTTCCAACCTTATCATTTTTTACCTTCGACTTGAATTAGCCTTCTACTTGAATTAACTCATACTTCGTAACAAGTGTTGTATTGGGCCTACGCTGTATGTGGCTAACTCACCTAAGTCTATTTTCTCCCATCTTATCACCTATTGGAATTCTCCTGAATCTATTTATTTCAAATTATATTCATTTTTGTCTTGGCACTCATCCATCTCAACATCATCATCAGAACTACACTCATCCTATAAATATGTTGTTTTTTAACTGCCCAACATTTTGCCCTATAAACAAAGGTGGTCTCACAATTGTCCTATAAAACTTGCCATTCAATTTCATTAAAATACAATGATCACATAAAATTCCAATTGCATATCTCCATTTCACTCACCCAATTTTAATTCTATATACGACATCTTCATCAATCTCTCTATTTTCCTAAATTGACCCATGATATAAAAAATACACTACTTTTGGTATTTTTGACCATCAATCTTAACTACTTCCTCGTCTCTACTCCTATTATCACTAAATTTTTGGTAAAAAAGGAGGGGAAAAGAGAGAGATGGTACTATCGAAAATGATCCCTTTTTTTCATTATGACTTAACCTTAAGATACAAATTGTTCATCCATAACATACAATTACATTTTCCCATGAACATAAAAATTCCATAACATTTCACTATTACTTGTGAATTAACAATGAATTAAATCATTATGTAAAATTGATCACAATTATCCAAGACGTTTACAATATGGCAAATATGGATGGGAATCAGTGAAGTAGGCACTCTGCCTATCTTCTCTTATCATATCATTCATCTGTTCAATGCACCGCATACATCCAGGGAATCAGTGAAGGAGGCACTCTGCATATCTTCTCTTATCATATCGTTCATCTGTTCAATGCACGGCGTACATCCAGTTCTTCTAAGTAAAAGAAGGCCACAAAAATACGTGAATTACTTTTCAAGTAGGAAGAGGGAACATCAATTGTAGACGGTGCATGAAAGTATTGCTCATTCCAGTGCCTGTATCGGAGGAAACCAATTAAATCCCTCTGAACTTGCATATATATGCAATAACAATTCGAAGCAACCTTTGCAAGCTGCCACCAAAAATGGTTGCAAAACAAGAGAGAGAGAGAGAGAGAGAGAGAGCTATCAAGAAGAACAACGCGTTTGATCAAACGTAAATGATTTTCAAACCAGAAGTTCAAAACTCTAAGATTTAAAATATATATATGTCTCATACAGAAGGATCGGAGATAAAATTCTGAATGCAATTTTGAAAAGATAGTGTAAATGGTTTCCCAAAATTACACAAGTGAGGCCAGTATTAAACAAAACTTACCTAGAAGATCAAAACAAGGAGAACAGCTTTCTTTGCTCATCTGTTGGATTGGCCAACCATCTACAAAACATGCATGCAGCCCCTACCACCGAGGCAACAGACAGCATCGCAAGAAACCCAAAATGAGAGACATCATTTGCTATAATGGCAACCCCTAGCATTACAAACTCTGCAAAGCTTGCTATGGAAACCTCGGTCGTTCCAATTAGGTTTGCTTTCGATGCCGGAATCCCAGTCTGAAGTATCTGTGAGCCAACAACATCATATGACATATGACCCAACCGAGACAACACCTGCAATAGTTGAGAAAAATGCGTGTGAGAGAGGGAGAAGGAGAGATTGCTTACTACTAAATAAAAGAAAAAAGAAAAGAAGGGTTTCTGAGGAGAAAGAGAGCTAGTTTGTGTTTCACAGAGACACAGAAAGGGGTACCCCAAGACCCCAAGACCTTTCAGGACTATGAGGAGGAATTAGTAGTGCATACTACTAGACATAGGAAGCAGGGGGTTTTTTCTGGCAGGTGTGGGTCAGAGGAGAGAGAGAGAGAGAGAGAGAGAGAGAGCTTACTATTAAATACAGGGAAAAAAGCAGAGCTCACTTTGCAAAGAAAATAAGAAAAGCAAGGGTTTAAACTGAAATGAACCATGAACCATTGAGTAAGAGGAGGGGTTTGCTTACTATTAAACACAAAAAGAAAAGCAAGGGTTTCTGGTGAGAAAGAGAACCGCTCCAATACACAGCAACTGCTACAGTGAGAAGTGAGGCCTGGAATATTAATCCCGCTGCTCCAGCCTGTAATAATCAAGGGATTACAAGGATTAAAGTATAAACATGAGGAAAAGGAAATCAATCAATGGTTGAAGAGACTTCAGACCTTGAGAATGCCAAGCCGTTTGACCAGGCCAGCAGATATGAAAGTTGCAGCCACACCCATGAATGCACACATACTACTGAATCCACCAATAATTGATGGATTTAGACCTGATGAAATTACGAATATAGAAATGCATTCTTCCATCAAAACTTCAGATAACTGAGTTCAGATAAAAAAGAAAACCTCTGTAACATTTATCTAGCTCCAAATGATCACCATGTCAGCTGCAGAAAAGAGTGACTAACTATTAACCCGAGAAATCCACATAATTAAGTCTGCCATATTTTCACGGAATGCATATCTGTTGCCCATCAGAATTGAATTCCCAGAACACTATGAGAAGATAGGAAACTAAACAGATTTTCCTTTTTGACAGGCGGTATGCCCCACATTAGGGTGTGCACCCATTAAGAAATACCTGTAATATTGAACATAGTTGCCAATTTGACAAATTGCAAAATGAGCTCCCCCTACGGACTAAGTTACTTCAACTCAGGTATGTAAACCACTAGAGTATAAATAAAACATGCACTGATTTTTTTGAAGTTTATATTTTAATGGTTACCAATCATAAATAAACTTTTTAATGTTAAACAATTCCAAAAGAACAGGGAAATTTTTTAATGTTAAACAATTCTAAAACAACAGGGAATTATTAATCAATCTCAGAAAGACAAGGATACTTTTTAATTCCAAAAGTTCAGGTCCAATGATCATTCAAATAAGGCTAGAAGTTTATATACTCCAGATAAATACAACATTAGAGATCTAACAGTTTACATACCAACAGCATTATAATGGAAAATTCGTATCAGGTAGCAAAGAACTAAACTCACCCTGCTGCGTTAAGAATGAAGTCATCAGGCCCCCCGGTGCAAGAACAACGTTGAAGTAAAGTAACACATATGCAAGGCTTGCAGGGAGAACAGGCTGCTGCCTATATTCAAACCATCCATGCTTGATGGAATCCATAACCCTTTCCACTATACAATTCAGAAAAGAACAGCATAAAATTCCGCAACATACCCAATGAAATCAACAACAGAAAATACATACCTAAGGAGAATAGATATAATAGGTAGAACAGCAGTTTCACCTAGATTTCCAGCAGCAGGAAAATCCATTGGTCTGCACAATTTGCCACAGGTACAAGGGAACTTGGGGCGACTGAGTACTCCCTTTGAGAGCCTGTTAGTTACCCAGACAAGAAGCAACTACACAAGAAAAAGAAACATCCATTACCCTAACTAATCAAAGAAAATAAGGGACAAACTATTCTGCTTTTGTTTGACAGGAAAGTATTCTGTAGTCCAACAACTATAGAAAACCATGGCCCTTTGGGGTCATAACCATTTGATAAAATGATGGGAGTGATGGAAGTGACCTACAAGAATATGACATGATGCCAGTTGTGAGTCCCCTGTCTCCAGCACCTTCCATCATTTCACTGGGCGATCATGAACACAAATCCCACTAGACCATTTGTTTCATAGTCTACTGGACCAGAGTATATTCTCCCTTGTTTAACTAAGTGGTGAAGAAAATAATTCATTACCAGAACAGGCAGTGTTAATATCATAAGACCAGCAGCAAGCTTTAGGCATGTAATTGTGTCATACTTGGACAGAAGTACACCAAAGATAGCAGCTCCGGCAATCTGCGAGCATGATGAACAGCATTACACAAGCGTAAAAAAGGATCTCACAGATTAGCTATACAACAAAATTTAATAACTAATTATAAATATCACTGATCATGGCGTCATGCAGTGTGCAAATTCCAAAAATTATATATATATCTGGAAAACCCTAAAAAATGCCTATGAGGCGGTTTATTGAACGGACCCGCAACGGACGGCATTCCGCCTGATTTTTTAACTGCCACAGACCTAGCATGTCTGTGGCATTCAAAAATGCATGCCGTCCAATTATTTTGGACAGTGATGAGCCTAAGGGCGAAAACAGTGTTCATTTTCGCCCCATAGGTGTTGTGTAGATGCTTCCTATATATACATATATGGAAAATACTGAGGTTAGCCCACTAGCTCATATCTACATATGAGCCCAACAGCCCAGATTGAATCTGGGCTGATCAGATCACGACCTCATTTCGTATTTTAATTTTAATTTTTTTTATAAAAATCCAAATCACTTGAAATTTTAGGCACGTATTCTTTAAAAATAGGAAAATCTAATAAAAATGTTAAAAAAACATTTGCAATAAATAAATCGATCAAAATACCCCTGAAAAGTTTTGAAGATATTTTGGTAAATTTATTCTTTGCAAATTATTTTTTTAATATTTTTATTAGGTGCACCTTGATGAGAAGAACACCTAAAATTTCTAGTTATTTGGATTTGTAGAAAACAAATTAAAATTAAAATATAAAATGAGGTCGTGACTGTCAGATCGGCCAAGATTGAATCTGAGCCGATCTAACGATCATGGATGTCCGATACTATTTGCATTTTATTTTATTTTCTACAAATCTAAATCACTTGAAATTTTAAGCGTGTGTTTATCAAAAATAGGTGAACCTTAAAAAAATATCAAAAAAATATTTTACATGAAATAAATTGACCAAAGTACCCCCAAAAAAAGTTCAGGGGTATTTTGGTCATTTTATTTTTTACAAATAATATTTTTATATTTTTATTAAGTGCGTCTTGATGAGAAGAACACACACCTAAAATTTCAAGTAATTTGGATTTATAACAAAAAAAAAAATACCAAGTACTGGACATCCGTGATCGTCAGATCGGTCCAGATTCAATATGGGTCGTTGGGCTCATATGTTCATATGAGCTATTGGGCTAATCCCAGCTTTATATATATATATATCTTTGCACGTATAAAGTCCAGGGTGCAATTGACCTTTACCTCACAAAGAAGATCAATTCGACTGAGCATTGCGTTTGCTTGGGCCAAAGCAATTGGCCTATTTGTTCCCGCCAACTGCAATATAATACACATAACAAAATTTAGAACATAGAAGAAAATTAATTCCTTTAGAAAACAAACAAGAACAGTGAAAAATTCAATTACCAGTACCACCCAATCTCGTTCAAAGGCTATCCCAGTTGCGAGACCAGTAAGCCTCTCGATAGCGCCTGCTAATACCAGTACAATGAACCAAGGTTGCAAAAGTAAAGATGTTGCAGAGGGGACAAGCATGGCAGTATTGAGGGCATAAATGATCATGGCTGCTGATAACAATTGAGCAGCTGTCTGACAGCAACATAGGCATCAAAAAGCTCCCCACCATATGTATGTCAAAAATTACCCAGCTAGAAAATTGATAAAACCATTTCAACTAGTTTATCCTTCTTTCTCTAGACACCTTATTAAACTAGTTGTGTGCCAAATGAAAGGGCATGGAAAAATAGCTTGTTTTAAATACCGTAAGGTTGTGAGCCTTACCTGCAATAAACTCAAATAATTGAATGCAAGTAATCTAGGAAAGGAATCCATGAAATTGCCAACCAAGGGGCCTCCAACAAATATTGCAAGCTGCATTTCATTTTTTTTTCTTAGTTATTTCCATTCATTCAACCTATGGCATATACAAACAAATAAACTCCCTCAAGATGCCACGATACAAGTTTATCTAATGATTCATAGACTAAACTTCATTTAATTTAATTTGGTTTCTGTCCCAGGACTATGTTCTAAAAGATAGAGCAAAAAACATCTGAAAACTAGAATAAGTTTTCTATATATCACCAGAATTGGTCAAGTATATCCAATATTGGCATAAATTTGATGGAAACAAAGACTTTAGGCCATTCACCTAGACATCTTACAATGTTTTTACGAGAAAGCCAGAAAAGCCCCAGAAAAGAGCCTTTCAAAATCCAAGGATTCAAACTAGTCTCATAAAAACCAATATGAAGACAACAGACTCGTTACGTACCTTTGTGAAGAAACTTACAACCGCCACGGGCAAAAGGCTTGGATGTAAGAGTGCGACGGTAGAGGGCCAAGCAAAGTTCCATATCTGTTCCACCAAATTGCCCGCTAGAAAACTGGCATACAAAGCTGACATCAAGATTAATTCAGGCGAGGAAATCAGAAACTATTGGCAAAGTACCACAACAGAGGAAAAAAACTCTCTGTCTAACATTTAAGCAGAAATGAGGGTACATGTCATCATTTTCCAAATACTACTAGCTCAAAGTCAAATATGGTACTAAAGCCTCCAATGTAACATTTTAAAGTTCAATAGTTATCTTCAGTAATTTTCACTCCAAATCCCATCTCCCTATGGGCTAACAATTCAGTTACAGAGGAAGAAGCAATAAAACTCTACTACATGTTGGGAAGATGTTCATTGATCGATATAACTCACCATACAAGCCAGCAGGATGGGCAGGAGTTGCATCAAGAGCATCCTGTTCCTCTTTCGTAAGAACCTGAAAAGTCGATAATGGAAACTTACTACCAAATTGATAAAAGCTCAGATATAATATTGAAGTATACTAGAATCAACTGAATATTGAAAACCAACTGGGATTGTCACCATCCAGTAAAATGATGGACAATTACGGAGAGAGTGGGGCCTCTCAAAACAAAACATGACCATAATGGTGGGTCCCACACCTTCCACCACCGTCCGTCATTTGATTGGACGTTGATGACCTTAGTGGACTTGAACCATATTATAGTATAATTCCTCATAATAATAAATCACAAGATAACTGTTATTAGTAATTGTATTAACAGAATATGAGGGAGAACGAGGCAGCATAGAGCCATAATATGCAACACAAAGTCACAAAGTGAAATCCTTGAGGTACATATATATATATATATATATATATATATATACTATATATATATATATTCAATGAATATTGATGACCGAGTGCGTACCAAAGCTCAACAATTTCCAACTCTTACCGGCAAAGCTGTCCAAAGACTATTTACATAGGAATCTTTATTGAGAAGTTGCAAAGATTCATTTTCAAGCAGCTCTGTATCGAGATGCACGACAGGAATGGAGCATCCAGATGGAATAGATGGAAGATTCTCAGTGATATCATCCTCTGTAGCAATGTTGTTTATTTCTACATCGGCATTCAAGTAACATTTCAAACTATAATAATTTATCCTAGAAGAAAAAACAAAGAGCATGAAGTCAATTAGTGTATTTGCCAATCCAAAAGTTCGATCTTGCATTACAGACAGTACCTAATAAATTTCAAATTTTGAGATCGAAAATAAAGCTCCACAAAGATTAGTTAACACAGAAGGGAGTCTGAGAGCAGTATCATATATCACACCTCTGGAAAGCTAAAACAGTAAATTAGCTTCCATAGGGACAAGAATATATATGTATTTTTTAGAGAAGAAAGAGAACTGTTGTAGCAGATGAAATGGTTCAATAAAAAGAATTGTCTTAAAAGGCATTGACTTAGGACTGAGGCAAATCCAAAAGAATGTTAAAATCAACCAAATAAGTTGCTAAAAAAACACCAAGCTGACACTACCTCGAGTTTTTATTAATAATTGAGATTCAAAGGGTCTATGGCACCCCCACATCATAATTTCCTTACAAGAATCACTTTTCATAGCACAAATCATCAAAAAGAGAGAAAGAAAGACCAAAAAGGAACAAAGTCTCTTTCCATCACTCGGGGACATAACGAAATTAGACTAACATTCTTCATTCAACAATGTCCAAGGCCTTTTTTTTTTTGTGCTGAACTCATATTCAATAATTCACACAACTGATGGAAATCTCAAATTTCAACCCAAAAAGGGAAAAATGGTTCCAATTACAAGAAAAAGGGCGAAATGGCTCCACCCAAGAACAAAAAAGAATTAACCAGAACAACTTGGGTAAAAAAAAGAAAAGAAAAAGAACTAACCAGAATAATGAATGATAATTTATAAACACCACCGAAGCTCATTCTCATATCATATTGCTTAACAAATGAAGACACTCTTAAACTCTATCCCAACAATTCCACCATTAAATACCTCCACCCAAAACAAAAAGAAAATGAACTAACCCTAAATCAACCAGAGACGAAATACCTAATGAAAAGGTACCAAAAATGAAGATACAATTTCTGAACTTCCAGAAGCAAACTAATAAATATCAATAGTTCAAAATGATAGATGATTCCATTTACCTGAAACAAGGTAGTGTTGAAAATTGTGATGATGGTCTAAGCCTAAGCCGAAGCCGAGAATGGAGGCAGCAAGTGGGACGAGGGTTAGAGAGAGGAAGGTGGCGAGAGAAATAAGGGGCAGAGGGGTGAGAGAGAAGAATATCCAACCCCATTGATGCTTCAAAAACCTTGGTTTACAAGGTGGGGTAGCTGGCCTGCAACTACTCATGCAGCCTTCAATGGCTCAAAACCCACAGAATGGGATTTTACGAATTCGAAAAGCTGCGGTGTTTTTGGGGTTTTGATGGAGCACATAACAAGTAGGATTTTGCAGAGGCAAGCCGAGAAATACAGAGCGTGCTCCTTATCCGGTTTTGAAGAGAGAGAAAGAGGAGAGAGAGTGAGAGAGAGGGAGAAAGCCACCACTCAGCTTTGAGTGGTTTATACAATATTTGGACGGTGGACCAAATACCACCCGCCAAAGCAAATGGTCGCGGAAATTTTTGGAATTTTAATGAGATAGTAATTTGCATTAAAATATAGGGTATTTTTAGTATCATTTTATTTTGGAAAAAGTATATAGGGAAAATTGCAAAACCCTTTAAAATGGACTTTTCACGCGTTTTACCTATTCAACTTTTTGTAGCAAATATCCTATAGCTCATTTTTTATTTTTTACTTTTTTTTTAAGAAAATATCCTTCCCTCATACAACAAATTATTTTCTTTGGAGAGGGCGGTCACGTATTTTGAACAGAAATAGCTGGTTCGGTGTTTCGTGGTGGCAGTCCGGCATTTCATTTCATGGTGGTGGTCGGGCGTTTTGAAGTTGCAGTCCGGCATTTTGAAGAGGCAGTACGAGGTTTTGATATTGCGGTCCGGAATTTTGGAGGGGCATCCGGCATTTTCGGCCTTTTGAATGGAGCAATGCGGCGTTTCTTTTTATTGGGATTCGAAAATGATTTGTTACATGAACGAAGGGTATTTTTCGTCAAAAATAAATTTAACTTTTTGTTTAGGGGGTTGAAGAGGCAATACGAGGTTTTGATATGGCGGTCCGACATTTTGAAGTGGCGATCCCGCCTTTTGAAGTGAGCGGTCGGGCGTTTCTTTTTATTGGGATCCGAAAATGATTTGTTACATAAAAAGAAGGGTATTTTTCGTCCAAAAAAATTAACTTTTTGTATAAGGGTATTTGTTATGAAACATGATTTTTTGTGCCAATTGCTAAAGTGACCGGTCCGGCGTTTCTTTTTATTGGGATTTGAAAATAATTTGTTATATGAAGAAGGGTATTTTTCGTCTAAAAAAAAATAACTTTTTGTATAGGGGTATTTGCTATGAAACATGATTTTTTGTGGCAATTGCTGGGAAAAGTTGGGCGGATAAAGTGCATAAAAAAAAAAAGGCATTTTGGGGATTGGCAAATTTCCCAAGTTTATATTGAGCCGAGGTTCTAAACAATCAAATTAGAGCCCACATCAAAAATTCCACTAAAAGAGGTTGTTTTGATGCCCAAATATCCTCAAATTGATCATCTTGGCATCAAGATGCATGAACATGAGAAAAAAAATGGATTTTAAGCTTTGGAAATAGTGTATCTCGTTACGCATTTTTAGACCGTCAATTTTCAAGATTTTTCTAATTTTCATAGATATCTGCTCGATCTACACTATTTTTTAAGCTTTAAACTTTATAATTAAAGATGAAAATATATTTTAAGGCTATCACAAAGATTTCCAGTATGGAAACTATATTTCTCCACCCTATTTGAAGGTGCGCTTTACTTTGATTCTTCAGAGCCTCGGCTCTATACAAACCGCACGTTTTTTTTTTTTGGCAGTCTAGGTTTTCCCTTCCATGTTCAACGTGCTGGGCATCCATTGCCCTAGCCAAGTCCTGTTCCTTAGAGGGTCGGTCTGTCCCCCAAGCTAAGTTGAAGAAGACCTAACCTAAGCCTCGCCTATCAGGGCTGGGTTAGGCTTGGTTAGATAGAATCAAAAAATAAAAGACAAAATAAGAAAGATGGCTAGGAGGAGCAGAAGCGTGCATACTAGTCCAAGCCAAGCCCAACCACCTCTTGCGCCCTTCGGGCCACACATCATGCCCCAAGTCCTACTTTTTGAGGAGCAGCTGAAGTGTCAAAGATAAGAAAGATGGCCAAGCGAGACAGAACAGTGCTGACCCTAACCCAAGCCCGGCCCATCCCAACTAGTTCTTTGGGCCTGTCGGGCCACATCTTGTGTCCCAGGTTCTACTTTTTGAGGGGCGGGCTATAAATGTAAGACATGGCGAGCGTGAGGAAGAGAGACCGGGAGAGATGTGCATGATGTTACTGTGTAGCATACGCATAGAGAGTGATGCATTTGGCGTTAATATGTACCATGTGCACAAACTTAGTAAACACTTGTACATATCTTAGCATGGACGTGCTCTATTCACACAATTGCTCTATACATATGCATGCTTAGGGAGAATTGGAACCATGATACATAGTACGTGTATCATAGGCATGAATATGATACATGTCATGTATCGAAACGGTTTACAGTTGGTGCTTGGAGCCTCAGTACATGGCCAACTAACTATCATAGGTATGTAATCTGCTTGGACGATGACCGGATTATCATCCATAACCATCCATTTTGGAAAGGGAAAGTTCAGATTCTATGGACCATACTCGCAAGCACGCTACATGTATCTAGAAACAAACATGATACACAATTTTTTTGTCACCCCGATCGAATTTTACTTATTTCTATCTCATATTAGAGAGGCATTTTGTTCTTTGTTCAATCCATAGATGTAGACTCCTTATCAAAGAAATTTAAGATATGAATTACGAGGTTTTTTTATATTATTTAAGATGATTTAAGAAATTTGGAGTATTTGATGATTTGAATCTACAATTTTAGCTCTTGCAATATTTTTCAAAAAACAATTTTGCTTGATCGTCGAGTCAGATGAACTAGCTTGGAATAGTTGGGTCACTGGTTCGACTCACCACTACCATTTTTAAAATGCCTAGACAATTCGGAATTATTGGATCATCTAGCTGACTCAAAATTGCCTGAGCCAACTTAGAAAAGGTGCAGCTAGTATGAGTCCCCTTGAAATCGTGGCTCGGACTGGTTCAACCAATTTGTAATATGTAATAAAAACATCGTCGTTAGAGTGATTTGATAAAGGGAAAATTACAAATAACCGCTCAAGAATAGACTTCCCATGCAATTTGCCTCGAAGCAAACTTTTTTTCTCACTTTTACCCCAAAATATACTTTCCTGGCAAATACCCCCAACCAAAAAAATCTAGGAAAGAAAGACTAAACTATCCTTCCTTGAATTTTACCCATGCCTCTCTTGCCTCTAGACAAAAGTGCGGACCGGCGGTCCAGCACTATTCTTTCTCGATAAACATGTGGTCTGGCAAATGTACGTTGCGGTCTAGTACTATTCTTTCTGGATAAACATGCGGTCCGGCAAATGTAAATTGCGGTCCAGCACTTTTCTCCTCAACAAAATGTGGTCCAACAGATCCCTATGGCGGTCCAGCACTTATGTTCCTGGACAAACATGCAGTTCGAAATATCTAAACGGCGGTCTGGCACTTTTATATACGCGGTCCGACATATCTATATATGCAGTCCGATAGATCTATATGCAGTCCGGCGAATAATGAAGGCGGTTCGGCATATCTATACGCAGTCCGGCTGATAATGAAGGCAGTCCGACACTTTTTTAGTTTGATGGGGTTCGACAATTGGTACATGGCGGTCCGGCAACCCATATAGTTTTTGTATTGTGCATAAACCCACGTGAATGTGCAGCCAAAATTAATTTTTTATGTATGAAAGAGGGTATTTTTGTAAAATAAAATACCTTTTTTTATTTGGGGGATATTTGGTAGGAGAGTAGATTTTGGGGTACAAAGTGAGACAAAAGTCTGGTTGGGGGTAAGTTGGATAAGAAGTTTATTCTTGGGTTTTTTTTTGTAATTTTCCATTGACAATGCTAAAAAGTAAAAAGGAAAAATATCTTCGTACCCCTTATTTTTAAGTTTTATACCTCTATAGACCCAAAGTTTCAAAATATATCTTGGGGTATAAAAATCTTAGTTTTTATATCTTATAATCCTCTAGACTAACTTTACATACTTTCGTCCTATTTTTTTAACACAAACAAATCGTAGAAAGATAACTCTTTCTAAACCCCACCCACTCTATCTTCATGGAGAAGTTAATGGGCAGAGAGAGAGTGAGAGACAAAGACAAACAATTGAGTTGGGGAAATACGAAGAAAGAGAAGGGGTTGGAAAGAGTCACGGGGTAGAGAGAAATTAGAGGAATTACGTGAAGAGAGAGTTGATAGGGTTTAGAAAGGGTTGTATTTTTTTGATTTGTTTGGGTTAAAAAAATAGGATTAAAGTGGATAAAGTTAGTCTAGGGGATTAGAAAATATAAAACCCGAGATTTCTATGCTCCAAGATATGTTTTAAAACCTTTGGTCTATAAAGATATGAAACTTAAAATTAAAAAGTACAGAGATGATTTTCTATTAAAAACTTAATTAAACTTTTCTTTACCCAAAACTCTGTCACTATCGTAAATCTATCTTACTCTAAACGGAAAGAGAATATAAATTTAGAAAATGACATTTACATCGTAAGTAACTCATAGTACTTACCTCTTGTTTGGTAGCAATTACAAATCAACTTATATTTTTTATAGAACAATGTGATTTATATAAAGTTGTAATCTTAAGCAATCCAATTAAGGCGCACCTCCAAATTTTATCATAACATATAATTTTGGTGTAAAAATTTCTTAGGATTATCTAAAAATCTATTTTCATATCTAATTATAAAATTTTAAACTCCAAAAAATAGTTAAAATCAAATAAGATCTATAAATATATCAAAATCTTGAAAATAGACAGTCTAGGATAGTTTAGAAATTGCATTTAATTCAATTTGTAGTCTAGGACGGTTTAGAAATTGAGAATAAAATTACAATGTTTTGTAAGTTTTCAAAATTTTATTGAGATCAATTTGGAGTTTAAGACAACTTATAGTGTGCTTTGCTTAATTGAGATTAGCCAAAATCCAAAGCCAAACCCCAGTTTCTGAATCCTCTAAAATGTTGTGGAAGCAAATAATTCAAAAATTAAACTTGCAAAATCCGCCAAACTTTTGACAAAGAAAAAGTTTATATAGGGTTGCAACCGTATCTTATAGAAGTAAGGTGCACCTTTAAAATCCAGTAAAAAAGAGTGTTTTCAAAGTTGAAAAACCTTCCAATTGATCATCTCAACTTTGAGATGCAGGGATACAAAGAAAAAAATAATTTCAAGTCCTAAAAGTAGTTCATCTCATAATTACCAGGAGCACCCCAATAGGGTGGTGCTCTGGCTCCAAAATCCAACTCCGACGTTCCATAATCGGGATCTTGGTC